ACAAACTCAAGACGAATATCATGATCTATCCGCTTACAGCCCACTTTGTCGACGAGATGAAGGGTTTGCTTCTAACCATAGAGGAGCATAGGGATTTCGTGGGTGAGACTATCAACCAATGGCGTGGCTCACTTATTGGCCAAGGAAGTTTGCAGGAGTGAACTATGCAGAACATGGTTTCATGTCCCTCTGGATTGTATCTTGGATGCTTTAAACTTGGATTTACCCGATATCGTTAAATAAATGCAACACTTCCAACTAAAAAAATATGTTCGTTTTACCATGCTTAAAAAGCCGACGTTCGCTGGTAATCAAAGTCTAAAAGTAAAAAAAAATTCTATCAAGAGGTTTGCGGATGGAATGTTTCTTCCAAAATAGAGTGTAAACGAATTGCAAGGATTTCCATCCTACAAACGAAATGATAAGTATAGTTTTTCTTTAAGATTTAGATGCTAAAAGTCTTTTATTTAGGGATCCTAAAAAATCTTCCCTTTGAAATCAAAGGAGACTTTGAGGATAACTTTTTCTGGACCACACTAAATCTGACGTCAGATTTTTTACCATGGCAAATCGAACGTTTTTCATGGCAAATCATGTTCTCCGAGGATGTCAAATGAGCATGACAATCTGCCACGGTTCATTTTTCTTCTTCAGAAAAGTCCAACCTTGCAAACTAAAATTGCCACCATCACACCAATATAAATTGTCAGAAAAAACGTTAGATTTTTCTTTTAGTGTTTCCGTTTTTTGAGGGGGTTGAGGAGAACGTTGTGTGAGGAAAACAGAGGCCATTGGACTTTTTTTTTTGAGAACCAGAGGCTATTGGACTGGGACAGACAGCCTAGCAGTAAAAGCCCAGAGTCCCCTGTGTCTCCTGCAGCCCAGCCCACGCTATGGTTTCGTCCCATTTCGGCATCCCTCACAGGCCACAACTGCTCACTTCCTTTCCCCATTCTTCTCCGCCTCCAAAACCCTACGCTCCACAATGCCGAGCCTCGCCGCCGCCGCCGCCGCTCGCCGCGCCGGGGAGGCCCTCCGCCGCGGCGTCATGGGCGGTAGGTATCTCTCTTCCCTCCGCCCGTCACCCGCTACTGCTGCCGCCCCCGACAGCGACGAGGTAACTGCGCGCCGGTTGACTGCTCGTTTGGCGGCCTCTCCCCACCTCCGTGATCGGAGGCGAGATATTCCGTCGCTGACATTGGATCGCTTTTGGCGCGTGCTTCCAGGTGCTGGTGGAAGGCAAGGCCAGTGCCCGCGCCTCCGTGCTCAACCGCCCCGGCCATCTCAACGCCCTCACTACCACTATGGTACGTGCCCCTTCAACCATTTGTTTCGTAAAATAGTTTCTGCGCCTTTGGATCAATCGTGTGTGAGTGTCGATGGAATGCCTGTGTGTTCTATGGCAAACGTTTCTGTGGTTGATGATGTGTCGGGGCATCTCAGCCAATCTGTAGGCGTGGCATTCGGTGAAATGCCTTAGAGGACGTGCACAACTGTTTTTGATCAAGTTTGTAATCGGATTATTTGAAATGTTAATGTACATTGCCTGTCAGATCATGTCCTTGTGATGATTTGCTTTGTGGTGTTTGATTGGATGTCTGTGGGACTTCATCAATGTAGTAGCGGATACAATATCCCCAGATGCATGTTCAGGACATGTTGCATGAGATGCGTACCTGATTATGGGTGTATGGTTTGCTTATATGGTCGTACAAGTGTCATGCCCGGTGTAATTTCTGCATTTTCATACACACTGTTCCAACCGCTTGATTTGGTGCTTTATTAGTCACTAGTAAGCTTGCACGTGCAATGCACGCCTAACCATAGTCCAAACTTTTCTTGTTCATCATAGTTAGGAGGCACATGTATTCAAATAAAATCATTTAATTCTTCTCTTCATTCCGACCAGTGGCGGAGCCAGGATTCGAGTATAGGGGGG